AGCCCCCTGGGAACTCCAGGCATGTCAGAAGGCTTCCATGCGAAGACGTCCCAGTTCTCACGGAGGAACTGGATGAGCGCTTCTCCCTATTTGGAGTCGAGCATCGTCGAGATGTGAGTCGGAGCAGCGTCGGGGTCGGTCGGGTGAATGTGAGCTGTCTTTGTTTCACCAGACGACTGAAAAGCTGACTCTGAAGCAGGCTTCTTGGCCCGTAGCAATTCACTCGGATCGGCAGTCTTTTGGTACTCTTGCAGCTCGACCACTGCCATCTGAGCATCTGCAATCTTTGAGCCTTTCTGAAAGCACTCTTCTGCCTTCTTCCGATTGCCTGTAACGGTGATCACATCTTTGGGACCAGGCATCTTCAATTTGAGATACACGTAACATGGTCGAGCCATGAAGCGTGCGTAAGTTGGCCTGCCCAGAATGGCATGATAGGCACTTTGGAAGTCCACAACCTCGAATGTCAACTTTTCGTTGCGGTAATTCTTGAATCTCAAAAAACCACATCAAGGGCAATCTGGCCGAGTGACACGGCTTTCTTCCCGGGAATGACTCCGTGGAAGCTCATGTTACTGGTATTGAGTCTGGACATCGGAATGCCCGTCCATTTCAATGTTTTAGCATATAGTATGTTCAAGCCATTGCCGCCATCCATCAGGACTTTGGTCAGTCAAGTGCCTTCAACGATTGGGTCGACCACCAAAGCTTGCCTCCCAGGGGTGGCAATGTGCGTCGGGTGATCGGACTGGTCGAATGTGATGGCAGTCTGAGACCACTTCAGGTAACTGGGTGTTGCTGGGGCAACCATGTTCACCTCGCGGTTAATGACTTTCAGTCGACTTTTGCTCTCGACATCGGCAAAAATCATCAGGGTGGAATTGACTTGGGGGTATCCATCGTCACTGTCTTCCTTGTCCTCAACTCTGTCCGACTCTTTTTCCTTATCTTTGGGCTGTTTGCCCTGAAACTGCTGGATCAGGAGTCGACACTATCGAGTGGTATGCTTTGGGTAAATGAAATTACCCTCTTCATCTTTCTTGGTGTGGATGTGGCATGGCAGATCCAAAACATCATTTCCATCTTGATCCTTGACTTTCTTGGGCTTCCAGGGGACTTTGGGTTTTCCCTTGAAGTTTCCCTGGGCTACAGCTAGGGCCTCCCCAGGAGCGGCTGGCTCAGCCTTCCGCTTCTGTTTCCGACTGGAGTTTCCTCCGGTTTCTTGGGCGACTGCCTTGAGCTTGCCGCTTCGGAGTCGATCTTCGTCTTTATCATTAACGTACTTGGTGGCAATCTGCATCATCCGATTCAGAGACATCTCTCCAGTTCGATCGAACTTCAGATTTAACTCTCTGTATTTAACGCCTTCCTTGAAGGCACAAACTGCTTGATGGTCTGGCACATTCTCGACCGTGTGATGCAGTGTGATCCACCTCTGGATGTAATCCCTCAGTGTTTCATTCGGCTTCTGTACGCAGGACCTCAACTCTGTAAGGCCTGCAGGTCGCTTGCAGGTTCCTTCAAAGGTTGTGACAAACACTTGGGAGAGGTCCTCCCAAGTGTAGATGCTGCTGGGTGCCAACTGATTCAGCCACGCTCTGGCTGAGCCCTCTAACATGAGAGGCAAATGCTTCATGGCCACCTCATCATTGCCGCCGCCAATCTGTACAGCCACTCGGTAATCTTCGAGCCAAGTGTCAGGCTTAGATTCACCGGTGAACTTGCTGACCCCAGTCGCCAGCCTGAAGTTGGGAGGAATCACTGCGGCCCTGATGGCTCGACTGAAACACTCTGGCCCTGAAACACGTGCTCTGCTGCTGGCGGGCGCATCTCTGTTCTGGCCTTCCCGATGTGCCCTGTTCCTGTCAACCAAGCCTTGAACGAGGATAGATCTCGCGTCAAAGCCTGGGTCCCTGGGGTCGACTGGAATCCTCTGCCCAACACTATGGGGGCGTCTGTCATCTTGCCGTCGAGGCGCATATGACCCACTCCTTGGGGGAGGGGTTGGCACTCGACGTCGATCATCACGATCGAACCGGCGATCATACTGCTCATTCCTCCTGTACTGATCGTGTCGGTCACCACGTCCCTCACGCCTCGGGGGTGATCTCGGGCTGTGAGCCGACTCGACTGTATCGGTTGCGACGGGTCGACTGTGGATCCTGTTCCGCGACTGAGAGACGGCGGAATTCTGGTTTCCCGCCGCCTGGAGCAACGCTCTGATCTGCAACAAGCCTCTGCCAGCCTCCGACTGGGAGGGCTGAATTGATTCTGCTATACGGGCCGCAGCGGCCAAATTCTGAATTGGGGTTCGGTATACCTACGGCGGCGGGAAGAGCTGACGCCGACTGGACTCGGCAGCTTGCTGACGTCGACTGGACTCGGGAGCTCTCTGACGCGCTTGCTCGTCGAGTATTCGCTGGAGATTCTCCAGTCAAGTGCGCTCGGCCAGGTTAGCCAAGCGCGCGTCCTCCAAGGCCCGGGCCTCGGGGGTTTCTCCGACAATAGAAGTGTGGAGCGCGTCCATGTTCCGGCGGCGAAGCTCCTCTCGCTGCGATGACGTGAGAGGTTCGGGGAGATACTCATCGTGGGGATGCGACGGGTCGCCCCCACCTGCGCCTCCATCAGCGCGAGGGAAACCGGGAGGACCGTGCGCCCCATAGACCGCTAGAACCTCAGCCGCTGGGTCGCTGCTGTCGCATTCGAATGCGGTCTCCGCGGAGCCAGTCGACAGGTCGAACAGGCCGCAGAGGGATTCGTCGGGCTCGATTGCCGCGACTTGTGGGGCGGCCGACTGGCGAGCCACGGCATGTCTCACCCACCTCTGAAGTCTCGACCGACCGGAGCGCTTGCGCCGATGGAAGACAGAGCGGGGAGACGATATGGGGGCCGACCGATATTGGGTCAACGGCTGCCGCAGGAGGACGCCACGAACGCATGCGCGGAAATGCGTCGCACCGCGGACGGGGAGCACGTCGATGTCGAGTGGCGCCTCCTGAAGCCAGGCGGAGTCGTCGGCGATGAACATGAGCGCGCCGAGACGGATCTCGCGGCCCTCCACCAAAACTCCGCACGAAACCATGATCAAAGGGATCGGAAAAATCGCAACTTCTCCAATCAGGCGCTAAGATTGCTGCCCCACGGTGGGCGCCAACTGTCGTGGTTCTAACTCTGACAGTGATGTAGGGGGGTAAGTATGGAGAGGCTAGATCTCAGCTATTGGGAGGTTGTAAACACACCAAGATGTACGAGTTCAGGCCCTTCGCGGAGGAAGTAGCAGCCCTACGTCTCGGTGCCCGGAGGCGGTCGATTGGATTACTGGCGTGTGAATAACAGGTCTCCTGGCGGTCGAGTGGTTGGCTTCATGGTCGAGTGGTAGCTTTCTGGTCAAGTGTCTTGAGTCCGTCGAGTGGGATACCTTTAAGTCGATTGAAAGGTGACTTTTCCTAGGGATGTCCTAGGGTAGGACTCTTTGGTCAGGTCCGTGTCCCCACCCTAGGTACATGTCTTCATCACGGGGACCACGTGAAGGGCAAGATGGTGCTTGTGCCCGCTGCAAGGGCGGCACCGGGAATGCATCAGGACACCACGCCATCACCGGATAGCAAGTGGCAAGCCCCGGCACCTGGGCGGGTTAAACTGAACGTCGATGGGTCCTACTGTCCCGCTTCTGGTGGTTTGGGGGCAGGCATGATCTTGAGAGATAGAAATGGAATGATCATTTTCTCGGCGTGCAGAAACCTACTTTCTTGTGCAGATCCTGTGCAAGCAGAGCTGGTGGCTTGTCTGGAGGGCCTCAACTTTGCCATGCAATGGTCACCATTGCCGGTGGACGTGGAGATGGTTTGCCTGGTCGCCGTCCAGGCTATCCGGTCGACGACAGATGACAAATCAAAACATGCGATGATGATTAATGAGGTTAAGCGACTTCTTGGTGAAAGGGGAAGCTCGATTGCTCATATTAATAGGAGCCAAAATTGTGTTGGGCATAGACTAGCTATGTTTGGTCGGGTAGAAGCTAGGACTGCCGTTTGGTTAAAATCTGGGCCAGCTAATGTACCGGACTTGTGTATGAAGAAGGATCTTCCTCCAGGCTGAGCAAAGAAATTCCGTTTCACCCCGCAAGAAAAAAAAAGGCAACGTGCCGGATGAAAAATTCAGTCCAGTTTGCGGTGTTTGGTCGATCCGGCGCGCGTGCAAAATCGCTTATGGCCTCCTTTGGTTTGAAGGAATTTTGTAGGATTTCTATAGGAAAAATTCCTTTAGAGCTCTTTGGTTTGTAGGAATGAAATCCTATTCCTACGGCGGAATTCTTCCTGTCCTCCACATTTTATAGGAAAATAAACATTAGCCTAGACTCAATGAAAAAAATCATATAATGTGAATCAAAGGGCATCTCGATTTGAGATGCATGTCATCTCATTTTCTATAACTTTCCTATTCCTATGATTTTCCATTTATATGAACCGAAGGAGGCCTATGGGTAGCGTAGCGTATCCAACCGAGTCTCCACAGATATCTTGGTTTCGTTGGGGCCAAGCCAGGTCAACCACCCGATTCTCCCTCCTTTTAATACTCGAATCGCAATCTCATCAAAGGCACTTCACGAATCACCGGCATCGTCGCGCGCGCTAGCTAGCTTTGGTGCCATCGATAATTCGACTCCCCGCATTCACATGGCGCCGCCGGCCGTCGTGGGTTTCTCCGACCTGCCGACGGAGGCGCTGGACGAGATCACCCGGCGCTCCGGGCCCCTCGACAACGTGCTCTGCTCCGCCGTCTGCAGGTCCTGGCGCCGCGCGCTCAGGACCGCGCGCCTCGGCCGCCTCCAGGAGCCGAACCGCCCGCACAGCATATTCCTGCATACCGAGGCGCGCGAGGTCGTCTTGGAGGTCAGCTCCATCCATCGCCGGTTCCCGCTGCCTCGCTTCACCGACTCGTCACGCAGCTGGAAGCAGCAGGAGGAGCTCCGGACCGAGCTCCTCTCCAATTACAAGGACATGTTCCACAAGGCGGCGCTCGCTCCGGGGCGCCGGCTCGGCACCTACGCCGTCATGCTCATCCACAGCGACGGCCGCGGCCTCTCGTTCCTGCGGCCCGGGGACAGTTCCTGGAGGACGGCGCGCTCCGCGAGGGCCACGCCGCACAGGTACCTCGACGTCGTCTTCCACAAGGGCGCGTTCTGCACGCTCAGCAGCTTCGGCGAGGTGAACGCCTGGACGCCCGACGGCGGGGGCGGCCTGCGGACGAGGCGGCTCACGGACCAGCGACCGGAGCAGCTGGCGTGGGCCGTCCTCGCCTACTCCGTGTCGCGCCACGACCTTCTCATGGTGAGCACCATGGATAGGCCGATGTGCTATGAGCGCCGGCCGCTGTGCTGTCCGCGCCGTCGGCAGCACTTCGAGGTGTCCCGCTGCGACGAGCGCCAGCGCAGGTGGCTCCCCGTGAAGGACATTGGGGAGACGGCCATCTTGGCCGGGAGCCAGTGCAGCCTGTGCCTCTCCACGCGAGGCTCCCCTCGACTCGCCGGGAGCAGCAACCACATCTACTTTGCTTCGGACTGTGCGACGAGCAACATCAAGTGTGATTACGGAAACCCTGACTACTACCGCATGCCGATTGCGGCCGAGAGCTTGGCCGGTAGGGAGATATCCGGCTGGACTTGGTTTCTACCTTACGTTGCACGATTAGACTATGGAGCTTCTTGAGATGTCAAAAAGAAAAAGATTGGGCTTGTTGATGTATATACAGCGGGGCATCATGCACACGCTCTATTGATTCAGTCTGCATACATTTGCTTACTCTAGTTTTTCCTTTTGAGGGGTATTGCTTACTCAAGCTAATTGATTGATGTCCGTTGGATTCATGTGTCTTCCTACAAATTGTGAACCTGTGATTGGGAAATACTCCCTTTGATCCATAAACTAAAACCACGACACTTATTATGGATTGGATTGAGTAGCTGATAATTTAGTTTCTTGAAATTCATCACCTTCTGGTTAGTCTGTTTTGTTGCTCCACCTCCCGGCCGTGCAGTCCTCCCAGGGCCTTAAGCTTAAGCTTGCCAGCGGACCGCCGCCAACTTTGCACCAGCTCACTCGGTCGCGCGCTTGCTTTGCCAACGGGTATTTTTTTCTTTTTCTTTTGCTGTTGATCTGGTAGGAAAAAGCGGTCCGGTTTTAATTGTCATATCAAAAAATACTTACGGATTTTTGAAAAGTTCTAATTTGAAAAAGTTTATAAATATGAAAAAGTCCATGAATTTGAAGATACTGTAGTTCATAAGAAAAGTTCAATTGAAAAAGAAGTTTGCGAACTCAGAAAAGTTTCATGCACAAATTAAGGAAAAACATTGCGAATTTGAAAAATGTTCACAAATTTGAAATAAGTTCATGAATTTGAGAATGTTGAGGAATTTGAAAGAGAAGGTCATGAACTAGAAAAAAGTTCAGGCATTTAAAAAAAATCACAGATTTGAAAAATATTCGTGAATTTGGAAAAAGCTCATGACTTTTTACATTTTTTTTAAAAATCGTGTATTTAAAGAAGGAAAAAGCAAAATTAAACCAAATAAAAACAAAAGTAAAAAAACACTGAAAACTGACGAAACCTTCTAGAAACCATAATGTGAGAAGAAGAAAAGATGAGCATGTGGTATGAAGAATTAAATGGGACAAAGCCCAAGGTTTAACCGGGTTTGCACCTTCTTCCAAAACAATAGAAAGTAGCGCCTCAAGCGTTGAATAGGGTGTGCCTTCCTAACCTATTTGGTTCCTGTCCATTATCTTCTTTTCCTGTTCGAGGCAACTCGTAAACGGCGTCTTAAGCGCCCGTTTCTTCAAT